TACCCTCCGCCACCCGCAGGGCCCTGCCCGGCGCCCGCCCCTTATGGGCCGGGTCTCCCCTCAACTCACCCTCCCTCCTCCTCGACGGGCGGGGTCTATTCTGAGCAGACTCAGTCGCCGCAGCCGAGCCGTCCGCCAGAGGGCGGAGCCAGCGCGCTCGAGGCCCCGCCCCCTAACGCCACGGATTTGTTTTCTTACGAACTAGCTACGTTGTAGCCCCGCCGCGTTGCCCGGCTCGCGACCTGGTAGTGCCGCGCCCACGCGGCCAGCGCAGCCAATGGCCACTCGTCGCCAGGGAGGCTTTGCGCCCTGGCGTGGGCGGGGCCGTTGCTGATTGGACTAACAGCGGCGACCGGTGGACCGCCGGCAATGGCGGGGTTTTCGGTTTTTCAAACGCGCCGGGCGGGCGGGAAAGAGGGCCGTTTTAACCGACTCGGGGGATAAAGGGCAGGGGCAGTGTAGCGCGGGCTGCTCCGGCACCTCGGCACCGCTGGGGGAGAGGGAGGCAGGGCTGAGGACGCCCAGTTCGGGGTTCTACCGTTCCGGCGTGCGATAAGCATTTATTAACTCTTACTATACGCTGAGCGCTTTATTTCATTCAATCTTTGTGTGCAGGAACGGTTCCCGGCGCTGGAGCGCACAACTAAATAATTTTAGATAGCGTTAAGCACCGTGAAGAAAATAAAATGTGGAAATGGGGTGGGTGCGGAAGGAATCACGTTCTGGCTCAGATTGAGCCAGCCCTGGCACAGCAAGTGCAAGGGCGTGGAGGAAAGTTCCACGCTGCAGCTGCCACATGGGTGAGCCTGGGAGGTGAAGGTAGAGGTCGGAGGCGGCTCTTAACAGAGGACTTCAAACAATTCCGGAGTACCTTATGTGTACTAGGCGCTCACGTGGAGAGCAAGCAGGGTGCCTCTTGCTGCAGGGCGCTGACTGGGGCTAGAGAAGATAATTAAGTATCTTCAGAGCGGTATACACTAAGGAGCTCATAAAACGGGATAAGTGATAGTCTCTTGGGAAAGGAAGACCTCTGAAATAGAGAGGTCAGGGAGGGCCACCCTGAGGAGGTGACATTTCATTTGAGACCTGAAAGCGAGGGATGGAGCAATGTGGATATTTGGGGGAAAGCATGCCAGGTGGAGGCGCTACAGATGCAAAGGCCCTGAGGTGGGAGCGTGCCTGGTAAATCCAGAGCGTGTCTGATAAATCCAGGAAGAGTGAGGTACAGAGGGAGAGGAGGGAGGTGAGAATCGATAGGTGAGGCGAGATGGGGTAATGCAGAGCAGGCTTGTGGGCTGCGGTGAGCACTAGACTTTCACTTTTTTATAAAGAATGGAACCCTGGGAGGGTTCAGAGCAGAAAAGCCATGGTCTTAGGCGTTAACAGGCGCCCCCTGGCGGCCATAAGTGGAACTGGCTGTCGTTGGGGAGGAAAGCCAGGAGCCAGGGGGACAAAGGCGGAGGCAACTGCGAGGGCCCAGAGGAGGGATGACCAGGGCTGAGAAACGAATATGCATTGCCCTCTCTTATCCCAGCACTTTAGGGACATCCCTGGCATCCCCAGTCCCCAGCCAAAAAGCACATACACAGCAGCATGATTAATCTTTTTAATGCCATCCTAAAACAGAATGGGCCAGCGGGGCCTCTGGGCTCAGCAGCTGTGGAGGAGGAGGGACCCCCTCCACACCTCCTAAGGCAGGTCACTGCACGAAGGCACTCATGAGGGGGACTTCAAGCCCCTCTTCTATTTCTTCATATAAAATTGGAGGAGGAGGGGAAGGGCGGGAGCCTGGAAAACATTCTTCCCAGCCTATGGGTAAAGGAAAAACTCAGGGAGCAAGACTCTGCTAACTCAGGGTCTACCCTCACACACACAGCCCCCATATTCCATCCCTCTCTAGAGTCTGCAGTGGAGACCTGGGGAGAGGACAGCCCGGGTTCACCTCTTCTTCCTTCTAGCTGGTACGAAGCTGATAATCTGCAGGGAAACAAGGAGCAGGGACAATCTCAGAACTGGGGAGACAGAAGGGCAGTGCCTCCCCCAAATCCATCCCTTTCCCCAGGGCTCATCATCAACCCCACAAGTATGTAACAAGGGGAAGGATGGGGTCAAACACAGGGACTGTAACCATAGCAACAAGCCTGTTTCCAGGCAGTAGACGGAGGGGACTATATGTTCAGCCCTTCATCCAAACCCACCACCACTACCATGGAACTGGCAACTGTCCCCATTTTAAAGATAAGGAAACTGAGGCCCAGGGTGGCATACAGACAAAGATGGATTAGGCCTGGGGCAAGGCCTGATGAGTCTTGGAGCCCTCTGAGACAGGATGTATCAAAGCCCCAGGACCACCCCTCTCATCTTTTTGCCCCCATTGTTCCAGGGAGCCAGGCTGCCTTACCACCACTCTGAGTGATATAGCGGACCCACGGCAGGGCCTGGTAACCACTCTTCTCGATGATCTTCATGTATCGGACCTGGAAGGGGATGAAAGGAGGTGGCCCAAGCTAGGGGGAGAGAGCTGGCTGGGGCCAGGGGAATACATGCACCATGACTTGGGGGAATAAGGTGGCACAGCTGGGAGTAATGAAGTAACATGGCTCAGGGCAGAGATGTGGTAAGGGCCATGGTGGGGGGTTGGGGGGAGGTGGTCCAGAACAGTGGGAAAGATGCCACTGTATAAGGGAATAGACACAGCACAGTTTGGGCACAGGGCATAGTGAGAGGTGAAGGGAGAGGGGACCCAGGCTGAGAGCAGAAAAATCAACATTGTTCCAGGAAAAGGTAAGGATGATTGCAAAGGAGAGATGACCCAGCCCAGGGAATGTAAGTGATCCCAGCCAAGAGATGAGAGAGAGGGGAACACACTGAGGTCAAGGAGAGGGGTCACCCTTCCCACTTCCCTCACCTGGATCCCGGAGACAGTGAAATAGGGAATCTCAAACTTGACCCCAATGGGGGGCCGGCCCTCTACCTCCTCCTTCTCCACGCTGGGGAGGCCAAAATGGGCTCGCATCAGGTACTCCTTGCCCCCCTGAGGGCACATGGGGGTATCAGACACACTGAGGGGGCCCTATATACCCCAGAACATATTCACAACACCCCCCAGGGCTGGCTCTGCTCTCAGCCCATTTCATGGACAAGAAAGTAAAGGCTCCTGGCCAAGACTCACTGCTGAAGCCTCTGACTGCAAAACCTGATCAGGGGCCTTCTAATGATCGTCCCCCATTTTCCAGACCCCTATGAACACCCCCACCCCAGATCCCAGGGACAGACCAGATCCTCTAGCAGCCCAAGACATGGTGAACAGGATCCTGCCCATTTCACAGATGAGCAACCAAGGCTCCATGAGGGGAAGTGGGTGTCCCAAGGCTGTCTAGCTCACAGAGACAAGGGAGAGGAATCTGAACCCAGGGTCGGTCTCCTCAAGACCTGGGACATGGAGAGTTTAACCACCATGCTGGCCTGGTTTCCACCTCTATCACCTATCAAAAGCTAGCCATGTGCCTGTGAACATGGTTCTCCAATTTATTCTCTGCCTTGCCCTCAAGCTACATGGGCAGGTCCCCCAATCCCCCGTCCATCTCCAGTGCTCACCGGGAAAGACTTGATACTCCAAATAACAACATTCTTTTCCGGCACATACTTGGCACTGCCCACGCTGGTCTTGAAGCGTGGGGAGTCAGCGTCACTGGGTACAGGCACAGATATCTCCACGCTGTTGGCCACCGACTGCTTCTTAAATTGCCCCTTGGCCTGTCAGTGGAGACAGCACAGGACACACAGAATTCACTCATGCAAATGTTCACCAATGTCTTTCCATGCACCATCTCATCAAAAGCATCCACAGCCTGAAGTGGGGATCATAATCCTTCCCATTTTCAGATGATGGAACAAAGGCACAGAGAAGTTAAGGCATTTGCCTGGAGACACACAGCCTACAAGTGGCAGATCTGGGGTCCACACCCACGAGAAACGCCTTTGCCTGCTTC